GGCCTTTGCGAACATCCGCCTGAGCTTGCCAGACCGAGAAGGTGGCGAAGTCATCAGGGCACCTCCCGGAACAAAGCTTAGCTTCCATGCACTGCCCGTAGGAAAGTTGAAAATCCAGATCGGGACTCATCATACCGACGCGTTAGTGGAACAAAAATCACTCTCATAAGAAGAGACTTCGCAACAATCACCAGCTGCACAGTAAATAAGGAGGTAATAAGGAGCATCCGGGGAGCCGGTGGGGAAATTCCGTTCACTGGGTATGTCACGAAATGTGCAGTCAAGGCAGGGGTTAGGGAGTCGATCTGGTCATTTCAGCGGATGATCGTAATGGAGGAGATGGACCATGACATAATCCTTGGAAGACCATGGTGCGCCAATGTAAAAATGATAGGGATGCATCTGCATGATGGCACATACATGGTAGATATAGAGAACTCAGTGACCGGCCGAGGGGAGCTTCTCCGACTCCTTGGGACGGGAGGAGACCCTCCGAAGGGGAAGTTAGCAACGTGGTCGCCGTCATTCAAAGATAGCGCGTGGAAGGGGGTTTTTGCGCAAATGAAAGGTAAGAGAGAGGGTAGAAATCATGATTGAGGAGGCTTTCAACAAAAAGGAATGGATCAAGATGGGCCTGCCTCGGAAGAAGAGAAGGCAGGAGGACGAGGTCTTAGGTGTCAAGGTGGCAGAAAAGGAGTCAGAAGTTGAGCTTGGGGCCAGCCTGCCCAAGCGGAAAGAAGTGCACATGGACGTACCGAAAGTCGCACTCGAGATTCCCGATTTGCTACAGCTCATCAAGGCTATCAGATACCACAAAGTAAGGGTGGACCCGACGACATTGACCAAATTCGAAGGAGTAGTGCAGAAGGGATATTGTCTGAATGGAAAATTAGTCAGTATTCAACCACGAGTCATAGAGGTGACGAGGGTAATCCTGACCGTTCATTTTTTAAGAGAAAGATCCCGGAAGGAAGTGTTTGAAAGTACAAGACGGTAGGGAAGAAAGCAAAACCGATCTCGATCCTGCTAGAGACATCAAAGGAAGAGGCTATGGAGAGGGAGGAGGAGGTTCTCCGAGTGATCCGAGAGCGGCGAGCAACGGAAGGGCATCGGATACCAGATGAGGTTAATACACATTTCGTTAAAAGTGAACCTTTTGATTGTTCACTTTTTGTGACAAAGCCGGAATTCATGTTGGAGCGATATAAGTAAGAGAAATTCATGTTGGCAATATGAACTGAGGAGCGACTGTCACATAAATAAGAATAAATCGAAACAATCATTGCTAAGTGTTGCTAAGTGGGCAGTGATATGGGTCAACTGCCATCGCTTGGAGTACTCGACCCATCACACACACACACACACACACACACACACACCCCACCCAACCCCAACCACCCCAGCACACCAACGGTGTTCGAATTTCTCCCTTGTAGGCTATCTTCGAGGCAGCCTTTTGGAGCAGCCGCCGCTCGGCAACTCAGAATAAACTCCAGGTTTGTTCGAGTGGTCCGGGCCCATCAACGTGCAGAAGGGTCGCTTTATTATGGGCAGTACATAGTACACCATCATTGCGACTGCTTGCATGCACATGCATTGCTAGTCGATATGAGATAGCCCTGTGGCCGCGCTGTTTTATACAAAGTCTCGCGAGTGTCGGCTATCCGATTTCCGCGACGGAAAGTTATGGGATGGCTACTCAAGGGACTAGGAGTGTTGTCGCGTTGTTGTTATGTTGTTTTCTGTCGTTTCGTGTGTGTGTGTACACGTTTTATTTTTAATATTATGTTCGTAGTGAGCGGGATACGTCCTAGTCGACCAACGTCGCCGATTCGCGTGCGTAGTGAGCGGGATACGTCCTAGTCGACCGCGTCCAATCGTAGTGGGCTCAGACTTCAGCCCCCCAAAGTGCGCCGGTTCGTGTGCGGGTCCGACAGAGGTGTGGGACCGCGCGTACCCCGTATGCTACAAAGAACGAGAAACGTCATCGGCTGGTCCACCTCTGCGATTTCAATTGACCAGCTTTCGTACTGTGGACTGGTAGCTCGGCGGGGATACGCCCACCGAAGGGAGGTGACAGCTCCCGCAAGGTGGAGGTAAGTCGCGCCTCGCGTAGTGCCCATCCTGTCGTAGGGGCTCGCGAGATGTATGACTGGCGCACTCAGCCGCAGCGGCTTGCGGAAGGTCAATATGTATTCGTGACGAGGATTAAGACCAATGTGCTCGACAGCGTCACGAACCCCAAAAATTGGACGCTCTAAGCGGGTCATTAATTTCTGCGAGCAAAGGTAGAGGACGGAATCTTAAACTACGATAGAATTTCCACTTAGTCGTTGACAAATCCCTTATATAAGACTCTGAGGACCTTGCCCGCAATGAGCCTGACAAATGTGATGCATCGCACAGTTCCCACTCACGCAGATGTGAATCTCGGCAATTGTGGTGCATCTTTATCCGTCAATACGACATTTGAGCGCGAAATGAAATCAATGCGCAGGGGTAAAGGCGAGTGAACAATCACGCTAAAGGCGCCAACGGTTATTAACGGTCATCACCGCATTATATGAGATTGCAACTGGATTCGATCACCCATGACATACCCATTGTCGACCCCATTTAGCAAAAAGGTCCAGGCATCGGACATTATATGAAATTGCAA